ATTCATGAATACGATAGTTGATTACTGTATGAACAGGAACTAACACAAAACGTCTTCATTAAAATTACGATCCAATTTTCGGTGATGAATTCAATACCGTCGCAGTTCCGTGCTCAAATTCTTCTCATGGCCGAAATGAGCACACAAGACTCGATACTATTGCGTAAAAAGGCCTTGAAAACTTCATTTACGTAGAATATTTCGCTTTTGACTCGTTAACCAGGATCTGAAAAACTCGGAGTATGGCCAATACCAGTGATATTCGAGGAGAGGCCGCAGTGACTGGATCTACGAAATACTTGAGATTTCGTAATCTAAAACCTTCCATAAAAAATACCATCATGGTCGAAGCAACTACTCGTAGTAACTTCCTTCTCAGTTAAATTACTGAGGATCTGTCAAGACATTGAACGGATCTTTCCTTCAACCCATCGTCATTTATCATCATTCCATAAAACTTTATCTCATTTGCCAAGCCATCTTATCCCCATTTGAAAGGCGATCTAAAAGCGTGCAAATGCTTCAAAATAGAACCTACCGGCGCACGGGTCTCGAAGAACCCGCACAAACATGCCGGCACGAGCTCCGCAAACGTAACAAAAATCCTACTTCCGCATGAATAATTAAGAAGAAAAAAAGAAAACTTGACGTAGGGCACAACAGACAAGGGAAGATTTCAAGCACAGGTATTTTTTTTTTCCTCGTCCAGGTCGTCTTTCTATAACGTGCGAAGCCGATCCTCGCAGGCAACCCCATATTTCTTTCCTCTGGTAAGTTACTCGGGGGCCCCCCTTCAGGTACATTCCTCGTACGCTAATGCTGTTCCCTGGGCCCGCACGCCGATCCATCACCACCTCCGGGGTTCGCAGACAACAACGACTCACGCCATTCCTTCGATCGACTTATTCTTTTTTTCCCCCTTCTCAAGAAAGAAAAAGAAGAAGCCCTCCACTCAAGAAAGCTTGAGCATAACGCATTCTTACCTCTCGACTCTGGAATCCCAACTACTCGAGCTACTAGCAACGACGTAGACATTTTCTTTTACGGAAATCGATTTTTGTTACGTTTTGGGAGTCTTGTGTACATCTTTCTTAGCAGGTTACCTGCGTTTCTCGATGTACCGGAATTGGAACACGTCAAATCAGTTCAAAATTGCGAAAAAGTAAAATAAGAACTGAGTAATGTTCAATACTGAGAATACAGGAATCTTAAATGGGGTTAAAAGTTCGCCAATGAGAAAAAATGGACAATGAGACGTGTCTGATTTTTCGAATATTCTTATGGTGTTCCATTTTTTAAAACGTGCGTAAAGAGGGGCTTCGAACAGTTAACATGATTAGATCATCCCAAAAAATTGCCAGGATAATTTTTTTCCGTTTTATTTCCAAATAATGCGCCCATCCAAATGCGCAACCCTTCGGCTGATGAAGGAAAAAAACCGTGCTGGCCATTCAGCACTGAAATTACGCATAATCTGACACGGTCTCGGGGAACGAAGTGTCTCTAAAATGAACCAAGCCTCCACTTATGAAGGTATCGAGTCAATAGATGGTCCGCAACTTCGCTTAGGTTTAAAATTCAGAAACGAAGCGAGTCGAAGTTCGAGAAAGAAAAATTGGCATTCGCAGAATACTTGAATTTTTTATGGCAGGAAAACATGCTTAGTTTGTCAGCAGAATAACGCGTCAAAAATAAAATAAGTAATGTACTTGCTTCAACAACTGAATACATATTTGTACTGATTGAATTGCGCGCGGAAATTCTCTTTATCCAAGAAGTTTGAATAGTTTTATTTTTACAGTATTATAAATCCTGACACGCCAGTCGGATTTTCATTCCCGACAATTGAGAAAGAAAAAGAAGAAAAAAAGCGAACTCACGTTTTCCGGCATAGACGTTCTCGTGACCTCTCCGAACACGCGAAACAAGATGAATACATCCCCAGCCCCGAGACCGACAGCCAAGAACGGCACAACCTGCAACCAAACAAGAGAAAAAAAACTGTCAGTTTCAGAACCTTTCTTACCCATTTCGCACGATTCACAGCCCTCCAAAACCTCTTTTCATCCATTCGATTTCATTTCATTCCCCAACTCGTAACAAAAGGAAACCTTACCCACCCCTCGAGCGTAAGAGAGATGGGAAGTTCCCATTCGGCAGTTGTCCCTCACCCTTCAGAGTTTTTCTCTCTTCCTCGAGCAGTAACAAAAGCATTCGAAAGGGGGGGGGGAAGAATAGCTTACCTGAGTGGAAGTCGCGTTGAAGTTGATGCCGATGAGAGCTGCGAGCCCGAGACCGGCGGCAACAGTGAAGGCGGTCAACAGGACGCCACGTCGGCGGTGCTTGGGTGCCGCAGGGGTGACCACTGATACACGGTTAGGCCCTGCTGCTCGGCCTTTCGTGTTCGTTGAAGGCTTGGCTGAGTGTTGGTCCTATGGTATGTGGCAGATGCTTTTTGGAATATGATTTCGAACATAAAACATAATATTTTCCACGAGAGAAAAATAAATCCGAAAAAAAATTCCCACAATGCTAGCGCTCATTAATTCATACAGTGCTATCAACGTTTCACCATGTTCACTTTCCGGGAAACAAAATTATCTTCCAGAATTCAAAGAAAAATTAATAAAACTGACATGAAAGGGAAAATGAAGTCACAAAATCAAAGAAGGTCATTGGATGCCATTCGATTGAAACAAGGAGATGGAAAAATGACAGAAGTACTCACCACAATGCCGATTCCGACAGCGGCTCTCATGATGGAGAGCTCCGACATTTTCGACAATAGCATATCCAAAGTACATTGCGAGAAAACCAAAAGCCGAGGCACGTTCTGACCTCGCTTCCCGGATTCGTCCACTTCAGCTTCCAAACTATTCGTGTGCTCTTCAATCGCCTATTTTAAAATGCAACATCGAACACGATTACCAGTCTAATCACAAATTGTCTAAAAGCATAACGACATCGAACGGGAATTTTACGCATGTTTATTAGCCTTCAGGGGATTCGGTATTCAGAAGAATCCGCGTTTGAAGTACTGTATAGGAGTGAACTTTACACAAAAAAATGTCCTCTCTTCACGATACCCTTCGTATTTTCGTCTTGGATGACCACTATTATTGCCATCATTAACGGATGGAATTTCCTCAAAGCCTTTAAAATATTCAGAAACAAAGTTCTTCTGGTACCTAAGATTCTCAATCAGAATCCTCCATGCTTCAACAAGTTAGTTGAAAAAAAATTTGAAGTGAGCATCCAGTCATTTTTTAGAAATTATCTTCGCTTAGAATTCGAAAACTTCTCGCACACCATGACATTTCAGGGTGACCATTACTATCACCAGCACCAAAACATAAAACCATATCGTGAAAATTTTCAATCGGAAGAGCATTTATTATTTTGAATTTGAAAGCTTGAAGATGCCTGTAAATTCGCGGGGCCTGTTTCAGTGTATCGGGTAAAATCTCATTTCCTCGTGGTACCCTTTCCATTTTTTTCTTCTATTAAATCTTGAAGGAATATTGGCGCACTGATCATGAAATAATTCAATCCACTCTTTAAAAAGTACGCCCAACTCCACCCATCCACCTCAAACAGCCCCGCAAAATTATATCTCAAGACTAACCAAAACCCCAGCAATCAGCCATTGTATGATTAACTCATCCAAAAAGCTATGGAATTATCCGCGCGTCTCGAGAGAAAAGCTGATTCAACTTCAAGTGTAGGCAACAACGATTTAAAAAAAAATAAAAAACCAACAAGAGGACTCACTTTTGCAAATTTATTCTGCCAGGCGGCGATGAGTTGTCGAGCTTTCTCCACACTCCAGTCGATGTTGTGGACCTTGTAGTGACGAGACCATTGTTCAAATAACTCTCGTTCTCCCATCAACTGGATGGTGGTCTGGAGTGCCTCGGCACGCACTATGTGACCAGTGCGATTTTTCGCCGTTCCACCGACCACAAACTGCTCCGGCCAGTGCATGTATTTCGTGGCGAACCCGTAACAGCCTCCTGTCAACTCCGCACCCACATTCGGCGGCTGAAATGAGAGCGAAGAGAAACCCGTCGGGTCAAATAAAATTATTACCCCGACATACGAGTACAGTACAAGCAGGGCAATCACTTTCATGATTACCGTACATGATCCAACCGGCGAACCTAAAGTAAGGCGAAAACTTTCGGGATCTTCAGAATTGAGCGTTGAACCTCGATATCTCGAACCTAACTGAATCGAATACTGTACTTCTTCACGTCGATTTTTTTTCTAGTCCACGTCTGAATTCTCTTAGAAACAATACATTAAAATCTCTAACTTTCCCCATCAAACCTCTAAAGCTAGCATTTTCTGGAAGCCTTCTGGCTATACAGAATTGTATTGTAACAGGAAAGAAAAAAGAGCAAAAAATTAAATCATGTAGTAGTGTTTTAAAAGGAAGTGAGCGACTAAATGGGAAAATAAATTCTTGCTTTCAACTTTAACATCTCAACTCATCCAGAGAGAAATTTAAGGCCCAGAATATTACAAATTACAACTTCCTATAATTCTTCTCGCGTTTCCTCAACAAAGATACTTGTTTCCCCAACTCAAAACATCCGTAAGTCCAAATTTTCTTGCTGGTCTCTTGAAGTTCGACTATAAGAGGTTCGAGTGTACTACAGGTAGACCCTTTCTACGCCGATTTTCCCTCGATAACGAGTTTCTTTCGTCCCATAAGCTTTTCTATCCATTTTATGGGAATATAGCGGTTCTCTACTACGAATTTTTCTCTAGTTCCTTGAATTTCGTCGTGGAGAAATCCACCAGTAGTAAAAAAGGCAAGCTTTCAAACGGAGATCGGCATTCGCGCAAGAAAAGTCATTTCCCGTTCGGTTGAAAGTTGAGACAGGTGGGAAATCGAGGCAATCCCACACCTTGAAAATAGCACGAAAAAATGAATTTTGACCAACTTTTTGCAGAAGTTTCTCAAAAAATGAAAAATCTCAAGAAAAATGTTCATTAAAAATCCTTCTGGCGTGGGAAAACAATTCGTAAACTTTTGAGGTATGTTTAAAATAACACATGCGAAGAAAACATTCGACTTTAAAACGCATAGGATAAATTGTCATCTTTCCATTCGATCGTTGTCAGGGGCTCCGTAAGAAATATAACTCCGAGGGTTTCGAAGAAAAGATTTCCCAACAGTTTCTGAGGCAAACGGCTCCTAATTAGCCATAACTTATCTTATCGCTCGTTCACCGAAGTACATTAACTCTACCGGTAACCAGCATTTGTTGGCACAGAAGTCTAGGGATAATTACGAAAAGTACAAAAAAAGAAAGAAAAAATTCAACATACATCTGAAACTCGCGGACCCAACAAACGCAAACCGGAGTGCAACAAACGCGTCGCAGTCGTATCTCAAAAGCCCAGGAGGCGGCAAATTTTGACAGGCAACAGCGACACATTTTCCCTCATTTAGATCAACATCGCTGCATTCATTTGAATTTTAATTAGGTCCTTAATCGAGACAGAACCCCGCCTTAGATAAGTTGGTGGAAACCAACCGTGTCACTGAAAGTGGGGTGAGATCTTCGCACCGGTTCTAAGCGTGAACTCTCCCTAAAATTGGGCTTAATTCCATTCGTTAACGCGACAGCGCATCTCATCAGTCTGTCGAGCTCTGTGAAGCGAACGCAGAAGAGTTCACCGGACCGCGAAGGATTCATTCAGACAGCAGCAATGCGATAAGGGGAGAAAATTCACAAGCATTGGAACGGACTGCGCAAACGCAAGGCCAAGCAAATCAATAAAAGAAAAAACATTAGTGCACATCACCAGAATAAGTCTTGAGAGAAGAGGAAAGAACAAGTACAAAAGAAAAAGAAAATAAGCAGACGTTCAGCTTGAGTTACTGATACGCGAGGAACGGTTGAAGAGTTCAGTCAGTACCTCGAAAGGATTTTTTTTCGTGTACGTTAGCTTCATAAACGGAATCCTTCAAACAACTGAGGATTTTTTTTCTTTAAATACTTGATGCAAGTCGCCAGGTGTCTTTTGAGCATATCTTGCCATTTCAACTTCGACCATCTTCAACAGTCTGCCTCAGTGGCACGAAAAAGATTTAAATTACTGGATAGGAACATGCTTCTCGTTTTTTTTTTTTTTTGACATCGTCGANTGTTTCGCGTTTTTTTTTTTTTTGACATCGTCGACATAATACAGTCGAACCTCGATAACTCGAACCTCCCCAAGTCAAATATTGTAATTTTCCTCCTTATCTCGAATTTTTCCCCAGTCCATTGCTGAATTCCCTTAGAAACAATGCATTAAAACCCTAAATGAAAGGCTTTCAAACCTCCGTAATTAGAATTACTGTAGTACTTTCTGCTATTATTTTATAGACACGAGAAAAAAAAACAAATAGAAATGTAACTTGATGCGTTTTGAAAGGAAATGAAAGACCAATTGGACAAATAAACCCTTGTTTTCAAGTTCAGCACCCTGTCAACTCATACAAAGAGTAATTTAAGACCCAGAATACCCCCAAATACGATTTCCCGTAAATATTCTCTTCCCTAACAAAAAAGGAATGTTTCCCAAACTCGATTTTGTTTCGCTGGTCCTTCGAAGCTGGACTTTAAAACTGCAGCATTCAAAAAATAAGGCAGTACATACGCAAAGACTCATAATACATGCAAGTTCGGCCGGTGAACCTAACAGTTCTTCACCAAAGAGATCAGTTCTACAACCAAACTTTCCTTTTGGAACTGTATAAGCAAAATGTAATCAGGAAACTTTACAGGACCTTCAACAAGGGAAGCATCAGACAAAAGCAAGAACAATTCATGAACCCCTGTACTTGTTCCGTTTTTTTTTTTTTTTGCGGCATGGCCCAAAAATGTGTGAACCCCCACGAATGCAGCAGAAGT